TTTTGTATTTCCAGCTGTCCAGAGGATGGCCCAGGCCCACCTAGCATCCCTAGACATGTCATCTGTGGACAAAGAGGATCCATCTTCTGGGGAGGAAGATGAGGAACGTGAGAAGGAAAGCCCGCAAACAGCCTCAGCTACAGGTGAGTGAGACTGGGTGGTCTTTCACATTATGCTATTTTAGCCATCTTATACTGGCATTTGCTCCACACATAGACATTGCTTACACTTTTGAAATCTCTTTCTTGTCAGATCTAAGGGAAGAAAGCAAACCTCTCAGGGATCAGTGTTCTCCGCCGGTCAGTTTGACAGGCAGTGCTGATCCCAGCCGTCACCACGGAGATGAAGAGGAGGCCAAAAAAAGAGAGGAGAGAAAAGGAGAATGACAAAAGAATAGGCCTGCGATGGAGACAGAGTTAGTGTGGAACAGACTTGCATAGCACACGTATAGGCCATGTGTGTGCGTGCATGGGTACACGTATGAGTGTGTGTTATTTGGGTCTGTGAGTGTGTGCATGCATGCGACAAAAGAGCTGAATGTGGAAAAGACTGAGAGAGGAAAACAGATGGACATTGAGGAAGGTCAGAATATTAATGAGCAGGAATGAGGAAAAGTTTAACCTGAGACTTCAAGTCTCGGTCAGACTAGGAAGTCAGGGCTAAATTCCAATCAGCCAAGGACACTGCACAAGAAATATGAGAACTGCAATGAACTGTGGCATTTTCTCAAGCAAATAAATGTGCGTTGTTTTTTTTTGGTTCAGGATTTAACAGAATTTATGAGACTTGCTCCTTGAGTAGTTTTTTGTTTCGTCCAGAAAACCATATCCATGTGTGACGAATCAGATTTTGAATCACCTTTATTCACATCATGTACAGGACATGTCACATAGTGATACTGGTGCTAAAACACACATCTTAACAACAACTAGAAAGAGCACATGATACACACAGATAATATAAGCCATCATGTAAAATACATACACACAATCTTAGAAATATTTTACAAACATGTAAGATCGATTTTAAGTGTTGTGCAAAAATGTTTGATGAGGTTGTTATTTTAAAGTATGTCTTACACAATTCGGCCAAATATTATAAGTAAGATGCTGGGGCTATTATATGATACACAGATATGATACTATAGATACCAGAAGTGTGGACTCAAGTCACATAACTTGGACTCGAGTCTGTTTTAAGTAAAAAATGATCAAAAATGTGATGACTTTACACTGGACTTGTTAACATCAAGGACTCCTGACTTCACTTGGATTTAAGCCTTTTACTTGAAAATGCTTTATACCTTCCCCATAGCCCAAAGATTAAAAAGAAGGTAAAAAGAAGTGCGCTACAAATCCTTCCCTTCTTGAATCAACGCTATTCGACACTTGAACCAAGGCTCCAACCCACTGAACCAATTCAACAGTGTCAAATCAAGTTGCAGGAGAGAACCATGAAGAACTAACGATACGTTACTGAGCACAAGTTAGAAAAAATGATACCAACCATAATTTTGTTCATGTACAAAAACTACACATAGTCAATAAAAAACTATTTTCCAGTATGCAAAACAAGCAGGTCAAAAATTACAGATGGAGACGCAACAACATTCAATGAAACAGCATTAGTTCAGGCAGGACCCGATGTCAAGCTCAGCTCACATCCCAGCTACATCAGCTGATCTCAAACAGCCCAATCAATTGATGGAACAGTGGACTGATGGAAGGGAGTCAGCTGATAGATCACATGATTCCTTTCTATGCAACTATTGGCGAATCTCATATAGGGCGCCCTATTTAAACTGCTCTGGCCTGCCTACTGTGGCCTCCACCCCAGCTCCTCCTTTTCATGCTATGTCTGACTTATCAGTGTCATTTCTGTTTGTCATTGATGCTGCTCTGTTCTGTTCCTGAGGGGGTCTTTGCTGCTGCTCTCTCTGCCTTAGGCTTTCCATGTAGACACATGGAAGGGCAGGGAGGTGTACTCTCTCTGCCTCAGGCTTTCCTTGTTTGCACGTGGAAGGACAGAGACGTGTGCTCTCCTGCCTTAAGGCTTTCCATGAAGACGCATGGAAGGGCAGGGAGGTTTGCTCTCTCTGCCTTAGGCTTTCCACAAAGGCACGTGGAAGGGCAGGGAGGTTTGCTGTCTCTGCCTTAGGCTTTCCATGAAGGCACATGGAAGAGGCTTTCTCTGTTGGCCCGAGGAAAGGCAGAGAGGCCCCAGAACAGAGCCATACCGCCAAACATAATACTGCAAATGGAAATAAAGTTTTCTTTGACTAAAGTGGTCCTGACTGAACTACAAGTTTTAAAAAGCATTGATGATTTTTGTAAATGTAACATATTATTACTCTGTAGTTAAAATGGCATCACATTTGATGAAGAGCACATTATGACTTGTTTAGGGCTTGAAACTCAAAGTAAGACTTTCGACTCAGATCTTGTCAGTCTTGGGACTTAAGTGCAGAGAACTAAGACTAACTTGTAGCCTGTAAAACGATGACTTAGTTCCACCTCTGTTAGATACTATATTACATTATATACTACAGCATGATTAATATACAGTATTCAATAATATTCCAGAGCCAGTCCCTACTGGAATTAACCAAGGAGCTGTACGGCTGCTTCCAGAGTCATAAAACTGCTCTTTCAGCTTGCTTTTCTCAACCTTGTAGATGTTTGCGTGCAAGGTCAAGAAAATCAGAGGATGGATTACAGAAGATTTGAGCGTAGTCACAGCCACAGCAGACCAGATTAAATCATATCAGACTAATCCAACTAATCACGATAATGCAGCACAGTTTTTCCGGTTTGATATTATGAACAGGCTTTTTGTAACACAGTGATTAGCAAGCATGATCTGTTTGGTACGACACAGATGATAGGTGGGAACTGAAAGAAGACCTTTTTTTACAATATATATATATATGATGAGTGTGAAGGTTTATTCTTGACCTTGTATATAAATGTTTTGTGTTGCTGATCAAACAAGTGTAATGGGCTGTTGTTTGTGTGGTTGTACTGTATGTCTGTTAAAATTTAATCTGTAGGAATGTGCAATGCTCCAGTAATATTTCTTTTCTAAGAAAAGAAAGACAAAAGGCTTTATTGGGCATTTCAGTTATCACATGAAGTGGAGATGTATCTTTGATATATGACAAAGTGTAGTATGTGTTTGAATACAACAAATGACAGCAGACAGTGAGTTTTATTAAATGAATACCCTGAACAAGTTTTTTGCTCCTTTGTTCTTGTCCATTTTTGCACAGGATGTACATAAACTGTTTTTTTTTTTACCATGATTACACTATTCAAAGACATCAGACGATCACCAAAAACATTAAATAAGAAAGGTAGTTTAATAACATATTTAATGTCTTTTAAGATTAGCCAATTCAGACAAATGGCAGAACCAGCTTCAGTTATGTGTGTTTTGCGGTCCATGGCTGGTATCTGAGAAACAACTCAAGATGGCTAAGTAAGAGTACTAGAAATACGCACAGTGTTCAATACTTCCAGTAAAACAATCATATTTAAAAAAAGAATTCAAAAACTGAGGAAATTCTTGATTAAATGAATTAAACATTTGTGATGTGAAAAGTTAGTTCAGATTCGGCAATGTCACACAATAACACAAACTGATAGAGGCAGTGGTCGACCAGCAGCTCTCATGTTCAGTGACTTAGAATTAAGCCCTGTTTCTACCAAACACTTTCGGTATGGTACCTCTGGAACCAAAAGTAACCCTTCAGACATGGTACCTAGACCCTCCTGTTTTCACCCCAAACAGTACTCTTAAATGTGGGCGGGGTTGTTGTCACTCACTGCTCCGTCCAGCACTGTATTTCCTCCTTTATCAGTCCGAACGTTGTTTTATCGTCCACAGAACGAGGCTGCACGCTGACATTTTTTTAGAACAAAATAAAACAGGCTGCAGTGAGAGTCTCTCTCCATGGGATATTTAAAAATGGCGGGTTGTGCATTTAGTCCCTCTCAGGCAAGCTCAGGGGTTTAGTGTTGCCGTAGCCCACAGGAACAACACTCCACGATGCTGTTTTTTTTTCTCCAAGTGAGGATTAGAATATATGCCGTTCACATAACACATTAATATACATAAATGCTTGAAGATCCACTTGTTACTAAAAGTATATGTCATATAAAAACTTAAGTGATGGTCAAAGGGTGTGTCGATTGATTCACATCGTCAACTCATGCATTGAGTAACACTACAAGTTAACATTCCACTTTAAAAGATGCCAGCAGTCGGCCCAGTGAATTCAGTTATTTTTTCTCCGACTCCAGCTGCTGCAAGAAGCAGCAAAACATCCTTTCATTTTATAGTTACAGTTTACTAATAAAACTCTCCACAGTATGAACAGTGGTTACATGAGCCTCAAAACCAGCCACAACTCAGCCCTGAGCAGAGTGACCGCCTTTACTGGTTTTGTCAGTGAAGTCTGGCTTTGAAGATAACATAGCTATGTGTCGGGTTTAATTTATTTCACTGTTGGAAAGGGCTGTCTTTTTGGGAAGTGCTGAGTGTACAACTGGATTAATGAGACTTGGATCATAGAGTTTGTAAACAGTTGTTTTGATTCAGTTTTGATGTTGTTAGACGTGGCCCCCCCTTTACTTCAATTCGTCAAGACTTTGCCCCAATTTTTGCCAAGCAATGCTTTCTTCATAAATTCAACGAAAAACTGGGTGAGTAATTGATATACAAATGGTCATTTGGGTGGTTGAAGTATTCCTTTAATATTCAGAAAAGCATTATTTAGATATACCTGTATGATCGAATTTGAACCTGTCTCTCCCCCCATCTTTTCAATATCAACAATACATTTATATCAATACACTGCTGTCAGTCTGAGATAAGAAAACTTCATCAAATAAGAACTGTTTAAGCATCTTTATTCACATTATCACAAATTACAAAACACAACAGGCAACTCATAGACCTGTTGTAACTGAATAACAGTTAATAAAAAGAAGTATGTCAAAATATACAGTTTAAATGCTATGTTATAATACTCTGATATGCTTGAAACAAAAATGGAAGCATTACATTCTTTATGCTGTAGTTACTGTGTTTGAACTGCAGGAGGCAATGTGTAATTACATTTCTAACACTGAGAGCTCAACTAAGGGGAACGTCTCCTTCTTATTCAAAGACATTTACTGGACCACTAAAATAAAAAATGTAGTGAAGTGAAATGTTTTATCCATATGTTTGTGTCTTTGTTTTTTTCCCATTCAGAGTGAGTTGGAATATTTGTCAAAATGATTGAAGATCTAAATCAATCAGATGTAATATCTTTTCTCCCTGGTAACTTTTACTCCTTTTTAGCCTTGACAAAAAACACCCCAGACACGTCATCGACCCCCACCCTCATGTCCGGAGGCAGTGTGTAAACCTCCAGCCTGATCAGGATGTAGCCATTCTCCTTCAGACTAGCACAGACCTCGGCCTCGTTCAGTGGGACCACTGGGATTTTTACCCCAGGCCCCCCAAAATAGTAACTCTCGCCCAGGGCTCCGATGAGCAGGAGGTGGCCACCGGGCCGAAGGAGCCTCCCAATGTGGCCCAGGGCCCTGGTGAAGGCAGGCAGGTCAGGGCTGACGCTCTCCAGACAGAAGGAGGACACGAGACAGTCGGCCCCTGCTGAAGGAAGGGCGTCAGGAGCCACAGGCTGAGGGCGGTGCACGTCGATGGGGATGATGTCAGTGACGACCTGACGTAGCTTGGCAGCTTTCTCTGTCCATGCCGAGGCCCTGGGAGACAATATGAAATCACCAACATAGAACAAAACAGTTATTGTAAATGCACAACACAGCATTAACCGACATGTGTTCTGCAGCATTCTCAGTACGACTCACACCCTGTGTCAGTCCCCCAGTTTGGTTCAGAACTGATGACATTTTGTGCAGACGTTCATGATCCCCAGAGGATGAATCCCAACAACTCAACCCCAAACCTTTCACTTATCCAGTATCTCTACATCTTCTTGATCAACTGGTACAAAACATTTGTGGTTCCCAAATCATGTATTCTACTGACTTTGGTGATTTTTTCCGTCGTGCCACCACAAGGTTACCATGTGGTTTTGAGTGTAATGTCTCAACAAGTGTTGTATGGATTGCCATACAATTTGCTACACACATTCTTGAACCCCTTCAGGATAAATTACTGTCAGTTTGGTTATCAGCTGACTCTCCATCTAGCCCAGGGGTGTCAAACATATGACCCATGGGCCAAAATCAGTTGGCCAAAGGGTCCAGTCAGGCCCACTGGATGACTCTGCACACCTAATACTGATGTTATTATTATTGTGAAAGCTAAAAGGTAGCAGGCTTCAGGAGCAAACTTAAACGGTGAGTTGCCTAATTCATGTAAAATGATGCTTTTCCACCCTGACCAAAATACAGTTCTATGAATGAAAAAGACTGAATACTTATTTTGCTCATATTTAAAGATGTCAAACATTGTGCACAGTATTGTCAATCAGCTGCTTCAGTACAACAGAATCTGCGTCAGACTTCCATCTTAAGAGTATTGGTTAAACTGTAATCCTAAGACCTAAACTGTTGGTTTGTAAATGGTTTGTAAGGCAGAGGATAACTTCACCTGCCACTTTAGTTTGGTGTGGTGATGTCAGTATTGCTACACAGGAGTGGAAATATGGGAAATGCACATGTAATGTTAGTGAGAATCAGGGTCATAAATATAGACAGTGTGGATGCGCTGGGGCCCATGGGGTGGAGGGGCCCGATTGCCCCCTGGAAATATGCCTGTTTTCAAATAAGAACTCATATTACATTAAAAATGGTAGGATTTTCTTTATACGCTCTCAAAAAGGCAAACCCATCTTCATGGTTTTCTGTTTCTATTTTCCTGTTTGTGAAATAGAATCAATCTATAACAAAATTATATGCTTATTCTAAATAAACTATAAAAAACTATTAGTTCAACTAATAATTCCCCATTTTCTTTTGTAGTTTTTGTTAGAAACAGACATGTAATGATGATTGCTGGGTAATATGTATGTTGATGTTGTCCAATTTAAAGTTTCAGTTTAATCGTGTAACAAGACACTACAAATTATAGCGGCTAGCAAAATTTCTTAAGACTGACAAGCTGGGCACATCTGCAAGCGAATGCAATATAAAAGTGGTAGCAAGACACACTGTTGCTAAAATATATACACGCCTAAAACTCTCTGTGTGTGTCATCATAACTAGTAACTAGGGTCATAATAGCGTGCACTGTGGCCCATTGTAACTACCTTATGCCACTGGTGAGTAGTAGACTGGCTGAATGTGGAAACACTGAGACATACTGTTGAAAGTACACTAGTTTTTCTTAAGACATCGGGCTGTTCATCATGTGTTTTGTAAACTGATGAGCGTTTTCAGAATACACTTGTACGTCTTTATGCTAAAAGAAAGGGAAACATTTGGAGGTGTTGTTATGAACAGGTTATTTACAGTGGTTTTACTGGTCCAGCCACTTGAGATCAAATCGGGCTTTATGTGGCCGATGGACTAAAATGAGTTTGACACTCCTGGTCCACCAGCGCTATCATCCGGCCATAATTTGTCCAAAATGAATTATATTATCAGCCTCAGCTGTACGATGCATGTTTAGTTTTGTCACAGTCAGGACAGTGTGATGACTCAATAATCAATGAGAGGGCCAGAATCAAACGTGAGATATTGTGACCCTTGATGATTAATGATGATGATTAATTTTTGTGTTTGTATATCATTTTATACTCATCACTCTGTTTCATAATAAAGGGACCTTTTTTTTCTCTCTTGGATGAACTGTACATTTCAGAAATATATAATTTCCTGATGATGATACCAGTCAAACACCCGTCATTATCAGTGAGTGATATTTCAAGACACCTAAAGTCTTAAGACATAGTTTAAAGGGATCTGGTCGTACCGTCGTCCCTCCAGCTTGCAGACGTGCTGCAGATACGGTGTCCAGTCCAGGCTGTAGCCTCCCTCGTCCTGGAGCCAGTCCCTCAGCACCTTCCTGTTGACCTCCAGGAAGTCTGTGAGGAGCACCTTGTTGAAAACCTCACAGCCACTCAGCACCTGGTACAGGGTGGGACCTGACCCTATGTCCACCAGCAGCTCACCACTCACATCACCTGGAGAGGAAAGACAGAGGACAAGTGAGACACTGAGACAGATCTAATTCGTTTTTGTTTTTTTTGTTTTTTTAAATGGAAATGCCTTGATTAATTTGCAGCTCCTATTCAGATAAGTCAACGCTATTATGAACAAGTTAGATGTGTTGAAGAGGTTGTGAGTATTTGTACTGTTCAAAAGTGAAACAGTGAACATGTGTCCGTTTTATCTGAAACTATATTAAGAGTTACTGTATCATAATAGCTTCAGAATATCAATGAAATAAAACATATGTTTAAGGAAGAATGCTTCTATATAAATTAAAATACATTTTATCTGGTCTTAGCATCCATTCAAGGAAAACTTCACAGACATGTAAAAAAAAAAAAAATTAAAAATAAACAAACACATTTTCTGGAATAATTTTAGGTAACACTGCATGACTAATTGATTTACAAAAGTAATTTTTTTGGGTAGACTATTCCTTTAAGCCTCACCAAAAATACTGCTTAATCCTACTTTATCACCAATCATTTCCTTTTAGTAAATGAAATATTATTTTACAGTGTTTGACTGTGCTATATAACTCCACTGACTAAAACTTGTTGCACTACTTTGCTAAGACAATATCAAAATTTTGAATGACATATTCAAATCCAGATCACATTTTTTTTTTTAAAGATTATTTTTCTGGGCTTTTTGCCTTGAATTGACAGGACAGTGTGTAAAATGGGGAGACAGAGAGAGAGAATGGGGACTGACACGCAGAAAAGGGTCACAGGCTGGACCTGAACCTGCGACCGCTGCAGCGAGGCAATGCCTCTGTACATGGGGCACCGGTACTATCCACTACGCCGCCGACGCCCCAGTCCAGATCACATTTTTAACACATTTTTGGCACCAAATGCATAATATGTAAATCGATTTGATACTGTATACAGTTTTCCATTTAATTCAGCCTGTTTGGTATGCTGGCTAATGCTCAGAGGTAAAGTGGGTCGTCCACCAATTGGAAGATCGATGGTTTGATCCCCGGCTCCTCCAGTTCTTTGGCAAGATATTGAACCCCAAATTGCTCCCGATGCTTGTTCCATTGGTATGTGAGCGTGTGTGAATTGTCACTGAGCAGCAGGTGGCACCTTGTATGGTAGCATTGGTTACCAGTGTGTGAAGGTGTGTATGTGAATGGACAAATGTGACATGTAGTGTAAAAGTAGTTTGAGTTGTCGGAAGACTAGCGAGGCACTATACAAGTGCAGTCCAGGTGGCATGTCTGGAAATTTTGAGGTCTGAGTTCAAGGACAACAACAACAACAACAACAACAACAAAGATGTCTGGGCGTGAACAGTGTTTGGAGCCAGCTTCGGTGCATGTGAATAAAAAGTTGACTCAGTATTTTCATCTACAGATTATTGTGGGAAAGAGTGAGAACAGAAAAGAAACAGTGTCTGGATTGTCTTCCTCTTACGGAGGTCAAAGTATTGGTGTTGACTTAAAAGACACACATGATGTAACACGAGAGATTATTGAAGCAAGTCATCAGTTTCACTCCATACTTTTTAGCCTTTTAACTAAGCTTAGAGTAATTTTGATATTTTACGATCTATGGTCAGTCTGTCTCCTTACCTTCAGTGAAAGCTCGATGCAGACATGCCAGTTTCCACGGCACAATGCTGTCCTTTCTTCCAAAGTCAGCCCGTGGTGGCGTGTAGTTATACTGCAGATACGCTGCAGGATCAAACCCCTTGTAGTAGGCTGCCATAGCAGCCGCCCCATTCTCTTTTCCCTTTGCTTCCATCTTCCTTGTTCCCTGTGCGACTGTACTTAACACCCTCTGTTTAGTCGTGAGCCTTCAGGTGCACTGCAACCCCATCAGCCACCTTATATACCTGTGTAGTGTGTGTCTGTGCTTGGGGCCACTCATGGACAGAGATAGCAATCCTGTTTTTGGGTCCGTGTTGCAGCCTGATAGCATTTGTTCTGTTAACGTCCTCTGCCCCGGGGCGCTGATACCATCAGATCAGGGGGGCTTCCTCCAACACTAGACCCACTAATGGACTCCTCACATGGCTTTCAGGTCTCCCACCCACCTCTCAGGGGCCCTCCATATCTCCACGATCATTCTAAAAGGCCTTTTACAAACAAACAATAGGCCAGTTTTGTCTCAGGCAGCCCTGTTTGAAAGACACAAACAGGGCTGTGTCCATCTCCATGTAGCCATCTTACTTTGATGATGTTTAGTGGTGGAGAGATAGAGAGTGGAGAGTGGTAGTGAGGGAAAGGAAAAGTGTTTCATGCTGACAGGTGATACTAGAATCAGAGGTCATCTCGAGATCAGGAGATAATTATTTCATTTATTTCATTATCTTGAGAAAAGGAGCGTTGTTATTTCGAGATAACGAGATAATCACCCCGTTATCACAAGAAAACTAAAGGTTGTTTCCTCTTATTATTTACAATGTTTATCAGAGATCAGGAGTGCCACACCTGCATGGAAACATGGTGTCTTGAGAACTGTAGCAACTGATTTAAGATGAAAATGACGGATCAAGGAGTACCAATCACTGATTAACGCATCAGAATGTGCTTCAATCAAGGTCATGACAGTGATCTTGACGGCTGAAATCAGGTGTGATCATACAAACCAGACACTTGTCATTGAGTTCTCCATAATTATCCCATATCTCAAGAAAACAAAAGTCGTCTTCTAGTGATGTTTTGATTTTACACCTACCTTAATGTGCAACCCAGACACATCATCAGTGATGGAACCTGGGGTCATCAGGTGTTTTGGGGTCTTTTACCATTATAAAAACCCTTGCTCAGGCAATCCAGCCAGGGTTGATCAGACCCCAACCTGTGTCTAGGTAGCTAGTGTGGTCCTTTTGATCCACGGCCATCTTGATGTCCTCTAAGCAGCATCAGTGATGTTCTTGATGGCTTCTCTGATCCCCAGCAACTTGAAGGCCCTGTAGAGGGACTGGCCAGCAAATCCCTGGCAGCCGACCTCAATGGGGTAGCATCAGGTCTTCCATCCATTACTTCGGCATTCCATCGGAAACTGTGATAATTTTCTTGTTGTCTTGAAAATCTGCCTTTTATTTTCTTTAGAATCGACATAGCCAAGTTATCCTGTTATCGCAAAAAAACAAGCTTTGTTATCTCAACATAACAAAATAATTAACTCATGATCACGAGATATATGGATATAGTACGAGTGCACACATGTTGTTTGTCCAACCCATTATGAACAAGTATCTGTGCTGCGCATACATGCAAACACTTTAGGGCGTTCTTGATAAATAGGACATGAATTGTTGCCATGTTTTATCAAAGATTACAGCTGAGGGAAACACTAACTTTCCAGATGTGTAACAAGTTGGTGATTTCTGCCAACCGGGTCTTCAAAGAGGGCACATCCCCAGTTTTCCAAAGAGTTAGAATATTCCTTTTTGCCACCATAGTGCATTGTCTTTTGCTGCAAGTGGGAAAGAGCTAATAGATGTCGGGTACCACCCAGGATGGCAGTGTGTGGGTCAGTTGCATACTTCTGAAAGCACTTAAAATATCAGACCAGAACTTGTTTAGCTTGGGGCAAGACCAAAAGAGGTGGACCAAGGTGCCCTCTGCTGATTTATGTTTTAGGCAAAGTGGAGAGACAAAGGGATAAAAGGAGTATAGTTTAGCACAGGGGTAGTTCAACCGGTGAAGCACTTTAAATTGAATAAATTTGGAGTTTATGGGGCATTTGTGAATGTCTTCCCAGGTTTCATCACCAACTGTTATGCCACGGTCTTCCTCCCAGCCTTCCTTTAAATACTGTGTGGAGACCATATTATGAGCTTAAAAAAGATCGACGAACCAAGTCTCTTCGAGTCAGGGGTCTGATTCATAAGCGTTTACAGTTCAGTGAGGGTTGGAACTGACTCAAAATGTGGGATACTTGTGCAGATTTAATCTCTGAGAACTTTGAGCGCCACAGAATGAGGATGGTCTTGTATCCAACTTGGTAACCTTCCAGTATCGCAAGCACTCGCTTTCTTTTAAAGGGCTTACTTCAATCACAGAGTCTTGTGAAATTATTAAAGACGTATGCTGTTTGTACACTGCTGGTTTACATTTAATTTGTATGTCCAATTTGGCAGTGTTACACCTGCTCTACTAAATGAATGTAGTGTCTCACATGACATGTATTTCCAGTTTGAGCCAACTCAGGATGTCAACAAACAAACTCATCTCCTCACTTCACTGCGGATGTTTAGTGTTATGGTTATTTGGTGCCAGGGAATGGGACAAATCTTATTTATGGCTCCATTAAAATAGCTTTGTAATTTTTTTTTTAAACCACCAGCCACAATGGCCAGCTGACTAAACAGCGAGCTTCATCCCCTGATTGAATTAATTTTCTGTCTATTCCCAGCGTATCCCAAAGCAGCAGCTGAACCAATGTGGAACACAGCCATGTAGTAATCAAACGTATTCTCCCCAGGAGTCTCTTAACACCTCGCTCATCCCTGGCAGCTGAGCTGGAATCCCAAACACTCACACACACACACACACACACACACACACACACACATACACACATACACACTGACCCTCTTCAGACATCCAAAATATTACAGTGTCCAAGGGAGACGAGGTATTTTGGATGTGGAGCTCTGCCAGGTGATGTAGTTAAAAATTAGGAGATTACAATTAGAGTCAGACGGAGTGAAAGGGGTCGAGAGTTTTCATTTCCAGGAGAATGTGAATCCAAAGCTTATAAATTCCATTTGGCATAACTTCTGAGTCATCAAACAGTCGGTGCTTATGGTTTTTGGACAGAAGTGTGAGTTGAAAAGCTCCAAAATACTCCCATTTGCAAATGCAACTCTAGGGAAAAACAAAACAGCTTATATTTAAACACACTGGCATATTATTTAATATAATTAGAGTGCATTAATCAGCAAAAATGTTAAGATGAATAGAAAAGTGATCAATTGTGATTCACACAGACTACATTAAAATTTTATTTTAACCTTTTAACCTTAGTCTTCGCTACAATTTCTATACAAAATCTATCTTGATACAAATATAAAAACTATAGTCTGAAAGCACCAACAAATAACCATTTGAGAGCATTAATCTAAAATCTTTTAATAGTAATAATCTCTCTATAACAGTTAATGTAAAATTAAAATAATTTTTAAAACCACAATTAAACATATTGAAATGACATTGTGTCATAATTAATTAAGCTACACACAAACAAAAAAAGTTTTATGATATCATAATTTGCATTTGTTGAAATATCTTGTATGGTTAATAATTATCAGGCTGAGAATCTTGGCATCCTTGCCATCTTCACCACAGTCTTCCTCTCACTCTTCTCCAACACAACGCTCTTTGGTGTCATGGTCACACGGCAAACTTCCTTCTGGATATGAGCTGGGCCTCGCTGCACCTTCGGCCCCACAGTGGGAGGCTCGGAGACTGATGACTGATGGAGTCTTCTGGTTGAGCTTGTTTTGGGATGTGGGTAATTCCTGCTGATGGCCCCCGAGAGGAATCGCTGGAGGAGCCTCCTGGCCTCCCAGTGTATTTCTGAGCGCTCTGCCTCTATCACTGCCGGCCTGTAAAAGAGTCACACAAGCACACACAATGTCTTTCTCAGCATGCTGGTTAAGTGTCATCACAAACATGCTTGCCCCATCACTGTGTACACCCTTGCTTCATTTTTAAAGGTTCCGTGTGTCAGATTTGGGGAAATCTACTGGCAGAAATGGAGTATAATAATCGTAACTATGTTTTCTTAAGTTTATCACCTGAAACAAAGAATCATTGCACGTTCCTTTAGAATCAACCATTGATATCTACATACAGAGCGGCTCCTCTTCCTTTCTCATTTTTGCGTCGGCCACTGTAGTCCTCCCACACCACGGGTCAGCAACCTGTACCGTTTAAAGACTGCCTTTTTTTTGGCCAAAAACAAAAATCTGTCTGGAGCTGCAAAACATATTTGAGTTTAATAATGAGGGTAACAAAGCCTATTATTAAAATAATCCTATCAGCATTACTAATAGATTTAAATGAGCATTCATTAATATATTTTACCACAAGATGGCTCCTATGCAGTGGACTACTTTTGAATAATTTTGTACTTAAAAGCAAACAGATCTGTCCTCCAAACACTATTAAATTCACAATTTTCCTTCAAGACTTTTCCTTTTTTGGATTTGGAGTCTAAAGCTAGCCTAGCTAAGGAGACTCAGGACTACCTACTGCTACTGAGGTTGGACTTAATTAAGAGGAAAAGGCACCAGGTCATAGGCCAGGGGTGTCAAACTCATTTTAGTTCATGGGCCACATACAGTCCGATTTGATCGCAGGTGGGCCAGACCAGTAAAACCATTGCATAATATCCTATAAATAACGAACACCTCCAAATTTTCTCTTTGTCAAGTCAAGTCAAGTCAAAGTCAAACTTTATTTATAAAGCACATTTAAAAACAACCTCAGTTGACCAAAGTGCTGTACAGTTATTGAAATATAAAATAATCATACACAAATATCATAATAAATAAAACAAAGGAAATAGTAAGGGCTCAATTTAAAAAACTAAAAATTAGATTAAAAAAGGGAAATAAAAGAGTAAAAAGAGTAAAAAGAGTAAAAGCCAAGGATTCTTGCCTAGCAGGGACTGAACGCCAAGGAGAAAAGATGGGTTTTCAGTAATGTTTTAAAGTGCTCAACAGACTGTGCAGCTCTAACCTGGAATGGTAGGCTGTTCCACAGCTTTGGGGCCGCCACTGAGAAGGCTCTGTCCCCACGAGTAGAGAGTCTGGACCGAGGTACTGCC